TCAGACAGAGGCCGTTCTCATGTCGAGTAGAGCTGCTGCAGAGCCACTATTTCAAGTACACGACGTCATCGAGTGTATACTTGAAATAGTGGCTCTGCAGCAGCTCTTTGATTGGTCAACCGCTTAGAGATGTCCCGCCCCTTAGTCTATCACGTACAATGTGATTTTTGAAAATGTAAAAATTATGATTTATTTTCTGAAATTTTACAATTTAGACTTTTTCTGTAAATGTAGGAATTCTGACTTTTTTCTAAAAATAATTCTGACTTTTTTTCTGAAATTGTTTTAGACTTTTCCTGAAAAAGTCAAAATTCTGACTTTTTCCTCCATCTCAACAGAGCCGGCCAACTAACCAATCAGAGCAGACTGGGCTCTGGTTCCAGACAGAGGGTGAAAAGAGGTGCTGCAGCACAGGCAGTATGAGAAACATAAAGAGCTTTCTGAACATCAGAGCATGGAGACATGTAGAGACACTACATACTGATACACACCTGAACATTAGAGACATGTCCCAGGAGAGACACTACATACTGATACACACCTGAACATCAGAGACATGTCCCAGCAGAGACACTACATACTGATATACACCTGAACATTAGAGACATGTCCCAGGAGAGACACTACATACTGATACACACCTGAACATCAGAGACATGTCCCAGCAGAGACACTACATACTGATACACACCTGAACATTAGAGACATGTCCCAGGAGAGACACTACATACTGATACACACCTGAACATCAGAGACATGTCCCAGGAGAGACACTACATACTGATACACACCTGAACATCAGAGACATGTCCCAGCAGAGACACTACATACTGATACACACCTGAACATCAGAGACATGTCCCAGGAGAGACACTACATACTGATACACACCTGAACATCAGAGACATGTCCCAGTAGAGACACTACATACTGATACACACCTGAACATCAGAGACATGTCCCAGGAGAGACACTACATACTGATACACACCTGAACATCAGAGACATGTCCCAGCAGAGACACTACATACTGATATACACCTGAACATTAGAGACATGTCCCAGCAGAGACACTACATACTGATACACACCTGAACATTAGAGACATGTCCCAGGAGAGACACTACATACTGATACACACCTGAACATCAGAGACATGTCCCAGTAGAGACACTACATACTGATACACACCTGAACATTAGAGACATGTCCCAGTAGAGACACTACATACTGATACACACCTGAAACATCAGAGACATGTCCCAGTAGAGACACTACATACTGATACACACCTGAACATCAGAGACATGTCCCAGGAGAGACACTACATACTGATACACACCTGAACATCAGAGACATGTCCCAGGAGAGACACTACATACTGATACACACCTGAACATCAGAGACATGTCCCAGTAGAGACACTACATACTGATACACACCTGAACATCAGAGACATGTCCCAGGAGAGACACTACATACTGATACACACCTGAACACCAGAGACATGTCCCAGCAGAGACTCAGATACAGTAATGCAGTCTGCTGCTCCTGTATGTTTAAAGCTGGAGCAGCTCTCACCTTCCCGTCGATAGTGAAGTGTTTCCAGGCCCGAGCCTCCTGAGTGCTGATGTTCTGATAGAGAACAAAGGACCCGTTGCTCCACTTGTAGAGACCGGAGCCGGGCCGGGAGTCCCTGCAGGACGAGGCACATGTCTTATATATATATATATATTTAGAGGAGGATTTTACTCACAATGTTTTGATAACTCTTTGTCGTTTTTGTATTTCCAGGAAGTCTTTCTCACATTTATTAATATTTTCCAGGACATGTTTCTCATTTGACTCTTTTGGAGAATTATATTGATATGTTTGGATAATTCTTTGTTGTTTTATTTATATTGTTCCTGGACTGTTTACTCATACCTCTTTAGTATTACATGTCTTCATTGTATTTGTTTGATTTTGTATATCGGGTCACCTGTGAGTGACCTGAGGCACCTGTGAGTGACCCGAGGCACCTGTGAGTGACCCGAGGCACCTGTGAGTGACCCGAGGCACCTGTGAGTGACCCGAGGCACCTGTGAGTGACCTGAGGCACCTGTGAGTGACCTGAGGCACCTGTGAGTGACCCGAGGCACTGTGAGTGACCCGAGGCACCTGTGAGTGACCCGAGGCACCTGTGAGTGACCTGAGGCACCTGTGAGTGACCCGAGGCACCTGTGAGTGACCCGAGGCACCTGTGAGTGACCTGAGGCACCTGTGAGTGACCCGAGGCACCTGTGAGTGACCTGAGGCACCTGTGAGTGACCTGAGGCACCTGTGAGTGCCCGAGGCACCTGTGAGTGACCTGAGGCACCTGTGAGTGACCTGAGGCACCTGTGAGTGACCTGAGGCACCTGTGAGTGACCCGAGGCACCTGTGAGTGACCTGAGGCACCTGTGAGTGACCTGAGGCACCTGTGAGTGACCTGAGGCACCTGTGAGTGACCCGAGGCACCTGTGAGTGACCTGAGGCACCTGTGAGTGACCCGAGGCACCTGTGAGTGACCTGAGGCACCTGTGAGTGACCTGAGGCACCTGTGAGTGACCCGAGGCACCTGTGAGTGACCCGAGGCACCTGTGAGTGACCCGAGGCACCTGTGAGTGACCTGAGGCACCTGTGAGTGACCGAGGCACCTGTGAGGACCCGAGGCACCTGTGAGTGACCTGAGGCACCTGTGAGTGACCTGAGGCACCTGTGAGTGACCCGAGGCACCTGTGAGTGACCCGAGGCACCTGTGAGGACCCGAGACCCACCTGTGAGTGACCCGAGGCACCTGTGAGTGACCCGAGGCACCTGTGAGTGACCTGAGGCACCTGTGAGTGACCCGAGGCACCTGTGAGTGACCCGAGGCACCTGTGAGTGACCTGAGGCACCCTCTTGCCTCTCACTTCATCTGAGTCTATGTTGTTGTCAGTGACGTATGTTTTATCTTTTTAAATGCCTTTGTGATGTGCTGCAACCCATTTTCCCCTCGGGGACAAATAAACGAATACTACTATATATATATATATATATATATATATATATATATATATATATATTTAGTGGAGGATTTTAGGTCATTCTTTTTATATTCATTAATTTTTTTCATTATATTTTCCTGAAATTCACAGATATATATTTGGGGTAATTCTTTGTATATTTATTTATATTCTTTCTGACATTTTCTCACATTTATTTATATTTTCTAGATGTTTGAAAATGTTCTTTGGGGACATTTTCAAATTCTTTTTTTATTAATTCATTAATTCATTATATTTTCCTAAAATTATCAAATATAATTTGATAATTCTTTGTTGTGTATTTATATTATTCCTGGACTTGTTACTGCCATTTTACCCATATCTCTTTATTATTATTTGTAAATGTATTAATTGTATTGGTTTTTTAGGATATTTCTTCTGACATTTGACTGATATTTTCGGAGAAATGTCCCTTATATATTTTTGGATAATTATTTGTACATTTATTATACGTTTTTCAAGATTGTTTTCAGATTTATTTATTTTTTAAACGAAGCATTTGTTGAGTTAATTAAGGCCCTGTAACTGATTCACCAGCTCTTACTATGGTCTGATGCTTGAAGTGAAAATATCTGCACTTTCCTTGTTGTTCGGAGTTGGATTCTTTATGGTTTTGCACTTATTGTACGTCGCTTTGGACAAAAGCATCAGCTAAATGATAGGTAATGATATGTAATGATATGTGATGTAATGTAATGATATGTAAGATAAGATGAACTTTTATTAATCCCTCGTGGGGAAATTGTTTCTCTGCATTTGACCCATCCTAGTGTTAGGAGCAGTGTGCTGCCATTTTGAACGGCGCCCGGGGAGCAGTGTAGGGAACGGTGCCTTGCTCAGGGACGCCATGTGATGATATGTAATGACATGTAATGACATGCAATGACATGTAATGACATGTAATGACATGTAATGATATGTAATGACATGTAATGACATGTAATGACATGTAATGACATGCAATGACATGTAATGACATGCAATGACATGCAATGACATGTAATGACATGTAATGACATGTAATGATATGTAATGACATGTAATGACATGTAATGACATGCAATGATATGCAATGACATGCAATGACATGTAATGACATGTAATGACATGTAATGATATGTAATGACATGTAATGACATGCAATGATATGTAATGACATGTAATGACATGTAATGACATGTAATGACATGCAATGACATGCAATGACATGTAATGACATGTAATGACATGCAATGACATGCAATGACATGTAATGACATGTAATGACATGTAATGACATGTAATGATATGTAATGACATGTAATGACATGTAATGATATGTAATGATATGTAATGACATGTAATTACATGTAATGACATGTAATGACATGTAATGATATGTAATGACATGTAATGACATGCAATGACATGCAATGACATGCAATGACATGCAATGACATGTAATGACATGTAATGATATGTAATGACATGTAATGATATGTAATGACATGCAATGACATGCAATGACATGCAATGACATGTAATGACATGTAATGACATGTAATGATATGTAATGACATGTAATGATATGTAATGATATGTAATGACATGTAATGATATGTAATGACATGCAATGACATGTAATGACATGTAATGACATGTAATGACATGCAATGACATGCAATGACATGCAATGACATGTAATGACATGTAATGACATGTAATGATATGTAATGACATGTAATGATATGTAATGACATGCAATGACATGCAATGACATGCAATGACATGTAATGACATGTAATGACATGTAATGATATGTAATGACATGTAATGACATGTAATGACATGTAATGACATGTAATGACATGTAATGATATGTAATGATATGTGATGTAATGTAGTTATTTGAATCACAGAGGACATGTTGGTCCTGAAGACCTTTAGCTGGTCAGAAACCAGAATCCTAACGTTAGTCCCAGTTTGAGTTCAGTTAGATCACCTGTTGGCTGCAGCCAGGAAGAGGCCTTCAGACGGGATGGAGAACACCTCCACGTCGAAGGTCTCTGAGCTGGTGTAAAGGTCCTGGTGGTGCTCTACGTAGTCCAGACGCTCCTGATCTGCAGAGAGGAGACGCGTGGAGGTAAAGGTGGGGTTCAGTATTTAAAATGATATCAAAATAGGGTGGGATTAAATAAATCTTGATACTAGCGGGTAAAAAGGCCATCACACGGAACTGGTTACTATGGAAAGACTGACCTACTGTCTAAGGACTAAAGAAGAGATCTGTGAACAACGCTGGGAGAAATGGACAGTGTACAAGGAAAAAGAAAGACTGTAAACATGGAGTAGTGTGTTCCCCTGTTTTGTACCTATGTAGTTGTGTGTGTTATATATTTGTCGAATGAAAATTAAAGAATTAAAAAAATAAAAAGTCTCACGGTCCAGCAGCGTCCTCCAGCGTCCTCCGTCACAGATGAAGAGGCCTCGGCTCTGGGCGTTGAACCACAGCTGACCCAGTTCTGGTTCTGAACACAGAGGACGGGTTCCCAAAGTCACTCGGGCTTCCGCCTCTGAAACACAACAAGAGACAATCATTAGCAGGTTCATCCAAAGATAATCAATAAACAGTTCATTTAATCACTCCCACCCTCATCCACCTACACTGGTTGCCGGTCAAGTCCCGCATATCCTACAAAGTCCTCCTCCTTACCTACAAGTCCCTCCATGCCCTTGCCCCCCAGTACCTATCGGACATCCTTCACCCACATGCCCCACCCCGGAACCTGCGGTCCTCAGACTCTGGCCTGCTTACCACCCCCCGCACCAAACTGCGAACCTTCGGGGACAGAGCCTACAGTGTGGCAGCCCCCACCCTCTGGAACGCTCTCCCTGCGGAGATTCGCAACATCCCCACACTCAACGCCTTCAAAAGGGCCCTCAAGTCCCATCTGTTTGCCAAGGCTTTCGGCCCCTAATCGATCTGTTGTTTTGGCTGTCTGACTTTTGTTTTGTTATGTTTGTTTTTGCCCTATTACTTGTAAAGCGACCTTGGGTCCCTTAAAAGGCGCTATATAAATCCAAACTATTATTATTATTATTATTATTATTATTATTAATGGTAAAACATCACAGCCTGGGACTTGTTCATTACTCTGACTGCGTTATCAGAATCAGAATCAGGTTTATTGGGACAGTCTGGGCTCATTTGCACCCTTTAAGTTTATTTATTTATACTATATATACTATTTTGTATGTTCTTCTGAACTATTAGAATGGGAGGGATGAAACCCTCTTTAATGGTCTCACATGCAGAGCAACCAGCACACAGTGACATTTGGCCTCTGCTTTTAACCCATCCTAGCACCAGGAGTCTAGTACAAGGAGCAGAGGGCAGCTATTGTACAGCGCCCGGGGAGCAATGGGAGTGGGGGGGTATCCGGTGCCTTGCTCAAGGGCACCACGGCAGGGCAGGAGGTGAACTGGGACCTCTCCAAGTAGCAGTCCACACTCCATATTTAGGTCTGGTCAGGGACTTGAACCGGCGACCCTACGGCTCCCAGTCCAAGCCCCTACTGACTGAGCCACTGCCGTGTATTGCATACACTTGTATGCTTCTTCTCAATACAAATATTTAGACTTACTTAGACTTAATTTAGAAAATGTAAAACACAGATAAAGAACTATTTTAAGAAAACTATAATAACATAAACAAATAATATAAAATATATGGTAAAATATAGCAGTAACTACATGGACCCCTCACTATGCTAGCACTTTGACTGCAGTAATGTGAACACTTCATAAAAAGAACAACATTTCCCTCTGTAATGAGGGTAAGGTAAATACTGCAGTACAAGTACCTCCCGTTTCCAGACAGTGAGGAGCATCATTAACTGTGATGGAAAGCCCCTCTGTCACAGAACCATTTATTGTTTGTGATTTCAGCGTCTGGTTTTCAACAGTAACTGTATCTGAGTGTGGTTTCACTGACAGCTATATGTTAATGAAGGTAATGAAGGTCTTCGTCACTCCTTCAAACCACACGTCTTCATTATGAGCAGACAGGGAGAGATGACTCTTATTAAATAAATCATCACACGTCAGTCAGTATCAGCTGGAGGGAGATCAACCCCAGAGATAACTGAAAACTCTGGAGGGAAACTACAGCAAACTCAACACACAGGACGTTAGAGATAAAGTAGAGCTGTTAGCTCCAGTATAAGTATTAGCATCTAATGTTAGCACCATTACAATTACACTGAACTAGCTGTTAGCTCCAGGAGAAGTATTAGCACCTAATGTTAGCACCATTACAATTACTCTGAACTAGCTGTTAGCTCCAGTAGAAGTATTAGCACCTAATGTTAGCACCATTACAACTATACTGAACTAGCTGTTAGCTCCAGAAGAAGTATTAGCACCTAATGTTAGCACCATTACAACTATACTGAACTAGCTGTTAGCTCCAGGAGAAGTATTAGCACCTAATGTTAGCACCATTACAACTATACTGAACTAGCTGTTAGCTCCAGGAGAAGTATTAGCACCTAATGTTAGCACAATTACAATTACACTGAACTAGCTGTTAGCTCCAGGAGAAGTATTAGCACCTATTGTTAGCACCATTACAATTACACTGAACTAGCTGTTAGCTCCAGGAGAAGTATTAGCACCTATTGTTAGCACCATTACAATTACACTGAACTAGCTGTTAGCTCCAGGAGAAGTATTAGCACCTATTGTTAGCACCATTACAATTACACTGAACTAGCTGTTAGCTCCAGGAGAAGTATTAGCACCTATTGTTAGCACCATTACAATTACACTGAACTAGCTGTTAGCTCCAGGAGAAGTATTAGCACCTAATGTTAGCACCATTACAATTACACTGAACTAGCTGTTAGCTCCAGTAAAGTATTAGCACCTAATGTTAGCATTGTTTGCCGAAATTATCTGGTAGTACAATTTAAAGAATTATTGATTTAGCTGTTAGCATCTCCTGCTAGTACCATTACAAGTATGCATACAATGGAGTAGGCTACCTCCTGTACCATTATTCCAAATTAGACAATTACAACGTTAAAAAGTACTCTTAAATTAGCTGTTAGACAGCATTCAAAATGAGCTGTTAGCACTTTCTGTTAGCAATATTTAGAGACTGAATTTTTAAAACTTAACAGGCCTGAGTTCTGTTAGCTTTAGCGTCACTCTGATAGCATAATATGCAGGGTTGCCAACTCTCACGCATCTGGCGTGTGACACACGCTTTCACTCTCAATCTCACGCTCTCACGCTGCCCAAACTATTCTCACGCCAAAAATAAGAATACGAAGACGAGAAACGGTTTTGAAAACTTTTGTCACGTAGTGATCGTCTTCTCAATAGAACATCTTTGATAATGTATTCTGGCCAATCAGAATCACGATAACGGCGTGGTGTTGTTGCAGGAAGTCCCGACGGAGAATACTTTTGCGGTAGTACATCTCATATCATCGATACAACATTACGTGTTGATAGAAATCAACACGTAATGAAATAAGACCCCACGGTTTGATGATTGATAGGTGTGTGGGCTGTCTTTCATTTTGACACACAGAACAATGGGGGCTATCCACCCTTATCCACAATGTAAAGTAATTCACACAGCCTCTTCCCTCTTCTCTCTGTGAGGAGCAGCAGGTTCAGCTTTCAGAACAAAGTAACACAAAAATAATATGGCATTCATTTTTTTAAATGTGTAGTAATAGATTTATTTATTTTTCTTCTCAAGAGAGTACCAGAATGTGTATTTTATGTTAGTATTTAAAAAATAAATACTAGAATACGAGAATCCCCCCAGACCCCCCCCCTGCAGGGGTCAACTCTTTCACCTGTGGGGAAATTGCAGGATTGGCTCCAGGTCGCCCTTTTTATTTACTACAAGACAAATGTGCCTTTTTATTTCATACAGTTCAATTTGGATTGAGACAGGGAAATAATCTAAACCTCACGCGTGGCGTTTCACTGTCGGGGGGAGCGTGTATGTAATTACATTGCAAATACTGAGCCCCACCACTGTATGGGTTAGCCCTACCATAGATTACCCAACAAAAATGCTCTGGAGCGCATGCGCAGATCTAAGATCCAGTAGAAATGATAAAAAAGTAAAAGTCTGCTGCTTATTGTTCTACTAGGCCAAAATAGAGTCAAAGAGTATATGAGAGTGAGAGTGTATATATATTTGGCAGTTTGGAGTAAGTCTATAGATTTGTTTGTGTGTGTGTGTTTCATGTATAGGCCTCTCACGATAATTAATTTTGTTGGATACATTTTCCCGGAAATTATTGCGATAAACGATAATATTGTCGGCACCGTTGTATGACCATTTTAGACCACTGACATAATGATAATATATAATAATAATTCAAGTACATCCTTTCAAACTGCTAGTCACATCCTCATGTAAATGGCAATTTATCGAGGTCAGAAAAGTTATCGAGTTCATTTTTATTTATCGTACGATAAGTCAATTAATTGCTTATCGCGACAGGCACACAATAAAACAGTGGAAACAAACATGTCTGACTTTCATTAGTGAATGAAACTGTGTGCCCTTTATAGTCTGTGTCCATTATTGTGTATTTGTATATATTGTATATATATCCTATATATATGCTAAGGTCCCGCTGCTGACACGATAGCAGTCATTTCGTGCGCATATGTGTAATTAAACCGAATTAAACCCATGATATCAAAATCTCACTCCAGCCAGGTACCCAAAGTTGGCAACCCTGTAATATGACTTTAGACCCTGCTAGATAAATTGAGTGTAATGCCTATTTTCATATCGTATAACAGACAAATCAGGGCATAAACATATTTATCCTTTGACAAGAATCACTGTCAGACATATTAAAGAGTGCAGTGAGCAGGTAAATCAAACACAGACAGCTCACCTGAGTCAGGTTTATATAAGGTGAGTCACAAAGAGTTCATTCTCTGAGCCTCAGGCTGATCTACAGACTCTTCAGATCACTGTCAGGCTCTTAAACCCCACACAATATTAACTCATTCATATTCAAGTCTCTCTTGAGATGTGTCAATGAAAAACTGAAGTCCTCCTCCAACAGAGCAACATGAATATAATAGGACATAAAACAAGTAAATACAAATAAAATTGAAATAGTGCAAGAAGAGTCTACATACAAGTAAATGGAATATGATATATTAGATAAATAATTAGCAAAATGCAAACAGGTGAATGTTTATGGATGATCTTCACAGAGTTCAGGTGTTTAATAGTCTTATGGGTGATGGGGGTCTTTTGTAATCCTAATATTATTGTATTGTTTCTCTGTAGACACAATGCAGAGCAATGAGTCCTAAACCTCTTTGGAGTCAATTCTAAAACCGTTTCACATTGTTGTAGATATATTTTAAACTTGAATACACTTGTTAAGCGACCACAGTTCTATTTCTGTCCCTGGCACGCGGAGAGGAATCTGATATCTGAAATATCAGATTCTGAATGATCAGAATATGCAAAAGCTATAGTTCTGATCGTGAAGAGGGGGTGGACACAATAACAAGAACACACCTGCAGCATGTGTTTTAAAGCTGCAAGTCAGTCACTGTTGTTATAGAAACACAGATCAAACACACACACACACACACACACACACACACACACACACACACACACACACACACACACACACACACACACACACACTCAGGAAGCAGCTGTTCCCTCCTGTCAGTCGTGCTGCAGCTCATGTTTCTGGCCCTGTGATACCATCACAACCTGCAGATCTTTATTTATCCGGGTTCCTCTTCCAGGACGGCTCGACTTACTACTTTACATCCAGGCTGAAGACTTTTATTTTTTATATAATTGATATATTCATATCTCACACTGCACTGTAACTTTAATTCATGTACCTGTTATTCATGTTTTATTATCGAATGTGTTTCTAATGTGTCTTAATGCTCTGAATGTGTCTCATGTCTCTAAAGCGGGTCTCCCTTGAAAAAGAGATCTATGATCTCAATGGGACCAATCTGGTTAAATAAAGGTTTGAAATGAAATGAAAGCACTTTGAATTGCCTTGTGATGAAAGGTGCTATAAATAAACTTGCCTTGCCTCGACATGAGACAGAGGAAAACTAAATATACTTCATAAAATACAACTAGTTATAATAATAATATGTTTATATGTTTATATGTTCATTTAATTCATTTCTTATTTGAACAGTTACTTACCTGTATATCATTTTTATTTTTGTTGAAATGTTATCTTTAATTGTATTAATCTGTTTTTCACTCTCACTCTGTTGCTGCTTAAACTCCTCAATTTCCCCACCGGTATTAATAAAGGTCCATCTGATCTGACATTAAAGGTAAGCTAGGTAAGAATGGAGAAAGCAGCTCGTGCCCTCATTGGTCATGTGCGCGTTCGTGTGTGTTGGAGGAGGGGCTCTGTAAGGAAGGGGCACATTTTTTTCGGTTGTGTATTTTCAAATCCTAGCCACTGGAGCTGCTTTCTCCATTCTTACCTACCCTACCTTTAATGTCATTGTTATGGTATTTTTCATGCAGAAAAATATTTGTTTTCAGTCTTAAATAGGATGGACATTTCTCACTATATTGTGTTTTTATTGTCCAAACCATTATTCAATGATATGAATAATAATTTGAAGATTTATCAATAATGAAAACAATCAACAGTTTAAGAGTTTGTGTTTTCCCCCTCTGTCTGAAACCAGAGCCCAGTCTGCTCTGATTGGTTAGCTGGCCGGCTCTGTTGTGATTGGTCGACCTGCTTAGAGTAGGGATGTTAAGATTCACCGATTCGCATCGGTGCACCGGCATAAACGTTCAAGATGCGAGTGCACCGGTTGAAAGAGTGCACATCGGCTACAGTTTGGGTTGAACTCGCGATGCATCGATTGTAGCGTCTTTGCATCGGTAAAAAAACGATTCATTCATATAATAACCCCTCATCCTGTCAGCACTCAGCAGAGACGATCTTTGATCTTTGCTTCGCACTACGGAGGCCGAGAGTCTCAGTTATCAACACACATGGAAGTCGAGGAGAAAGAGAAACACAGCGCACCGAAAAATACCTGCAAATCAAACGTTTGGCAACACTTCGGATTTTTCAAGAAAGACGGTCAACTTGAAAAATCGCTCGCAAATTGTAAACGATGCCGTGCCGCTTTAAAGTACACAAGTAGTACGAGGAACTTAGCGACGCACATAAAGAGGCAACATGGGGTCTGCGGCTGAAAAGAGAAACCTGAAAGTTAGACATATGAGTTCAATCACTCAGTGAGGTGTTCTGTCAGAGAGAGTGGTGTTTAGTTTACAACAGCCTCTGACTGCCAATAATAGTTTAAATGTCTTCCTTACTGTAAGCAGTTATGAAATACCTGCTTGTGAAAGGTTATTTTCTTTATTGTTCCTATAGAAACCACTGCTTCCTGCTCACTGGTGAGTTAGCCTATGGATGAGTGTTAAGCACATCAGGCTGGCAGCTGTATGGGCATTGCACTATGGTAGTTGTTATTTGCACATTGTTAATCATGGGCAATGCATCCTTAAATTGTTTAACTGTGAGGTGTTATACAATTGTACTTTACTCTGGAGAGTTTTTTAAGGTAAAAAAGAAACAGCATGATGGGATGTACTAGTAGAGAGAAGCAAATATGTGAAGCACTTTTTTGTTAATGTATGATTTGCTGCATATAAGGAATACAACAAAATCCTCTGTCGTACCATATTGAAGTATCATTATTTTGCACCGTGTTGAATCACATCGTATCGCCCCGTATCACATAATGTTGAATCAAATCGTATCGAACTGTATCGCAACAGGGGTGAATCGTATCGTATCGCATCGCCTGGTGTTTCAAAGGTATCGTTAATGTATCGTATCGTTGGCAACGTATCGAGATGCGCATCGCATCGGCCTCAGTGATGGAGATGCACATCCCTAGCTTAGAGATGTCCCGCCCCCTTTAGCCTATCACGTACAATGTGTTGGAGCGCTAGCCAATAGGAGCACGAGTGTTACGTAGTGATGTCACTATGTTGCAGAGGTAAATGTAAAATAAATAGGGTGTGTATTTTGTAAATTGTGTAACTTTTTAAAAAAGATTTTCTTTATCTAAGTAGCTGGAGAGTGTTTGGAAAGCCACCGAATTTAACGACAAAGTCGCCAAGTTGGCAACACTGTGTAGCAATGTAAATTTCCCCTCTGTGGGACGAATAAAGGTATTCTGACTCTGATTCTAAAATACAAAGGATATAAACAAAGGTATTTGAACATAAATATGTAAACAGCTGTTTCTCATGTCGTTATTGTCCTTATTAACACCCCCTCCTCACCGTACGGAAACTCTGGATCCTGGTCTGTTTGTATCGGGGTTGCCTTTAGGACCCTGGGGACGGAGAGCTCAGCCAGACGGGGGTCAGAGGTCGGACACAGTCTGGAGGTTGCGTCTGAACCAGGAAGTAGAACCAGCTGACGAATCAAACCCTGAACACAGAGGACAGGAAGTTAAAATATCTGGAGAAATCGTCGGACCAATCGGACATTTCTTGACCCTAAAACTCCTGATCAGACTCACAGAGAATCTTCCTCTCAGCCTCCTCCGGCTGCCGATGAAGATCCTGGATCCTCTGGTGCTCAGAGCGCTGGGGAACGACTGGACCTGCTTACTGTGAGACAGGGTTGAGATAATCTATATTATATGATCATGTTAGTGAGTTTCATCATTTAGCATAGGGTCTTATTTATGATCCTCTCCAGAATGGAAGTAGTCATCACATACAGAGCATCAACTAGTTCCTGAACAGTGTCCTTCACATGCTGATATCCAAGAGAGGGAGTTACACAGTCACAAGATGGAGGAATACCAGTTCTTCTAGGTAATCAAATCCTGTCATGTGAAAAATACTGAGTTTTTTCTCAAAATGTTAGCTTTTTCCTGAATATCACAAAATTCGGACTTTTTCTCAAAATCTCCAAAATTCTGTCTTTTTCTGAATCCTTAAACATTTTAATAATCCCTGGTCCCCGGCTTGAGCTTCAATCTCAGGATCCATGTATCTGTGATCCTCTCCAGAATGGAAGTAGTCATCACATACAGAGCATCAACTAGTTCCTGAACAGTGTCCTTCACATGCTGATATCCAAGAGAGGGAGTTACAGACTCACAAGATGGAGGAATAGAGAACCGCAGTGACGCGTCCTAAAACCCGGAAGTAAGTTAGCATTTTTACCACGTCCGGTTCCTTCGACAAAAAGCAATGCAATTTCTCCATAGGATTTTGGAAAATAGCTCGAAATAAGGTCTGTGACACAAACTGAAGAGACAAATCACGTTTTGTTCTACGACATTAAATACATCAGCAGTGCCCCACTGGTGATTTCTGAAGAGTTTACGTGTCTGAAAAACGATGGTTGTTAACATGTGGCTGAATAGGACTACAGAAGTTGTGGAGGCCGTTGTACGTCATTACACCGAACACGTAAAACACTCCTCTAAGTTAGTTAGCCCTGTTCTGCTTGAAAGCAAGTACCTGCCTATGGAGAAATTGCATTGCGTTTTTGACGAAGGAACCGGAAGGAGTTTACTTCTGGGTTTTAGGACGCGTCACTGCGGTTCTCTATACTGGTTGTCATGTACAAAACACTGAGTTTTTTCTCAAAATGTTGGCTTTTTTCTGAAAATCAAAAAATTCCGATTTTTTCTCAAAATATCTAAATTCTGACTTTTTCTCAAAATTCAGATTTTTTTCTCCAAATTTCAAAATTCTCACTTTTTCTCAAAATTCTCACTTTTTCTCAAAATTCTGACAATAGCCGCGTTCACACCAAGTACTTTGCCGTACTCAGTGCCGGCACTCAGTGCCCCGGCACTTATTACCCCCAGGGCACTTAGTACAGATCGCGTTCACACCGGAATAAATTCCCTGAGGGAAGATTACGCAAATGAGCCGCTGACGTCACTTCTTCTTCTTCTGCTTTGGGTTTACTGGCAGGCCGCAAACAACTTCACGGCGTATACTGCCACCCGGAGTCCCCGGCCGGAAGTCCCCGGAGTTGGGGACTGGCTTCAGTAGAAGCTGCTGGGACTCCCAGCAGCTTCTACTGAAGCCTTCAGAGGAAATCGCCAGAACTCCGACACCTCCTCATCTCCACCGCTCCCATGTTTTCTTTTGTGTTGCCATAAGTTAGTCTCTCTGCGTTTGTGCGCTGGGCGAATGCTAATGCTAATAATGCTAATGCGAGGATAATAAAATGGCGGCTCTACAAAACATTTCAGAGTTGTACGGGACGTGGTTTGCAATTCGCCCAGCCAATCAGAACTGGGGCATTTTTTCCCCCAGGAGATAACCATCTCTCAGCAGGCACTAAAAATGGGGGTAAAAGTTCCCGAGATGAAGTGCTCTTTTTGGTGTGAACGGGACATAAGGGGTACTAACGGAACTAAACGCGAAAAGTACGGTGAAAAGTACTCCGGTGTGAACGCGCCTATTGTCAAAAAATCTCAAAAATTCTGAATTTTTCCTCAAAAATCTGACTTTTTCTAAAAATAACAAAAATCTGACTTCAATCTCAGGATCCATGTATCTGTGATCCTCTCCAGAATGGAAGTAGTCATCACATACAGAGCATCAACTAGTTCCTGAACAGTGTCCTTCACATGCTGATATCCAAGAGAGGGAGTTACACAGTCACAAGATGGAGGAATAGAAAGCAGTATTCAATGTTTACTTCAGATTAGCTCCACGTCAGAAATGAGCATGCTTGTCATATGTCTATCTCCATAGAGGCTGAATCATCATGTTAATCACATAGCTATCATATGCCTCAAACAGTCCTGATGCTCTTCTAGGTAATCATACATCCTGTCATGCACACAGCTACAGTTGGGATACCTTTGTTAGCATGTTGCTCTCATGTTGGAGGAGGACATTCAGTATTTTCCCAACAAAAATAGTGCAAGAAGTCTACATACATATAAATAGAATATGATATGTACAAGAACAGAATATGAAATTAAATAATGTACATTAAGACAACATGAATTACTCTCTATGTGTAATAAGTAATGTGTTGTGATGGTGACTCACAGCTCCAGAGGGAGTCCACAGTCGACGGTCAGCGTGGCGTAATGTCCGCTGACGGCCAGAACCAGAGTGTGCCAGCGGTTATCATCCAGCGCCACGTCCTTAAAGCTGACCCGGCTGCGAGCTCCAGAACCAGGTCCAGAGACCAGGAGGTGGAGACGCCTCTCTGAGACCCTCAGCCCCAGAACCAGAGAGTCAGACGCCTCCTCCAGCAGCGAGAAGAGGTACTCACTCCTCTGGAAACACACAGAAACCGGTTCAAACCGGACCGGACCACATCTTCTGGTTCAACTGGTTCACAAAGGAGAGCTTCTGTCTAACTTTATTAAATCGTGGAACCCTGTATCTCTGATTCGATGTAAACATGTTATCTTCTCTGTTCAGGACATGGCTGGATTAGAGATGATGTTAGTGTGTTGTTATGGTCGGCTGATTCTGTGAGAGACTCTATGAATCAGCCGACCATAACAACACATTAACATCGTCTCTGAACCCAACCATGTCCTGAACAGAGATTATAAAATGTTTCCATCAAATCAGAGATACAGGGACTCAGTTAGACTGAAGCTCTACTTGGGCACCAGTCAGTCCTTACATTTAGGGAGTTAAATCCCAGATCTGATGCACGATAGAGGGTCTTGAGCATGTTGTCTTTAGTGAGTTATAGTCTTTCACCCTTTTATCTTGTCCTAATATTTGATTGATGTTGCTAATGGAGCTGCTGTGATGTAAGAATCATTTGAGATGATCTGCGATTACAGTTTCATCTCCACTGTCTCACCTTCTTCAGCCTCTGGATCTTGATGGTGGCGACCAATGAGAATTCAGCGGGGAAGAAGTCACAGTTGGTGAAGATTTGGGAGGCGGGGAAACTCAGCGCTGTCGCCGCGGCGCCGGTCAATCGGAGACCTCGAGAGCCTTTGGACTGAACCATCTGCACCTGATTGGTCAGTTTGGATCAATCATTTGTTAATTAACCACCATTATATATTTCTATATATGTATTTAGGCATTTTTAAAGGTAGGAATATTAGCCAATCAGAGGAAGAGTAGGGTGAGGCCTAACTTTGCCATAGTACTAAATATTTCATTAAGGGGAATGTCCCATAATGCACCTCTGTGTAATTATTACCATGTGTTTCTGTTACTTGCATGGAGAATGTGTACTTTCAGAACAATGGTTGTTTGTTTTGTTAATTGGCCATTTTCCACCTGTCCTACCTGAGGGGGCGGGGCTTGTCCTGGGCGAATCAGAGCTCTGTCCAGCAGGTCAAGAGGAAGCAGATCTGTGGAGGAAACAAGGGTAACTTGGTGTTATGTTGTCAGTGATAGACTTTGTCTCTGCAGCTATTTTCAGGACCCTGGAAGTAGTGTAATCACTGCAGATGTTATATAACAGCTGTTTTGATCAGATCAGGACGTTTTCCTCTGACTATGATTGATGGTCGGCTGGATAAAGATCTCTATCTGTTCTCAGAGATTATCCTCTGCAGAGTTTATTTTGATCACCTCAGATTGATTCCTCTACCTGTGGCTTTAGCATCCGTCTAGAAATGCAATCAAAGGCGTGTGGAGTTACAGATATCAGCTTCTTCCTGTAACACCAACGCTATCTTTCCTGTGTGATTGAGTAGAGCGGTTTTATGAAGAAGGTTTGTGTGAGAAACAAAGCCCTGAATCTGGACCTCTTGAGTTCTCTGACACAATGACAGAGTGAAGAGAAATGTATGAGGTCACTGACCAAATAACAGATTCATGAACGTAATGATAGAGGAGCAAAGTATTGTGTACAGCGTAGCACACGAAGGAATGTTGTACCGTACGTAGGAACACACAAAGGAGTACATACTGAGTCACGTTAGGAAACCTAAAGAGAACGTACAGAGTAATGTGTACAACATACGGAGAACGTACCGTGTTTCAGAGTAATGTACGGAGTAATGTGTACAACATACGGAGAACGTACCGTGTTTCAGAGTAATGTACGGAGTAATGTGTACAACATACGGAGAACGTACCGTGTTTCAGAGTAATGTACGGAGTAATGTGTACAACATACGGAGAACGTACCGTGTTTCAGAGTAATGTACGGAGTAATGTGTACAACATACGGAGAACGTACCGTGTTTCAGAGTAATGTACGGAGTAATGTGTACAACATACGGAGAACGTTCAGAGTTGAGTATGAGAACTTAGAGAGTCATGTACAGCAGGAAATATGCAGGAAAGCTGTCGGAGAACATCAGAGTATTCAGACATAATCTCAACGTACAGTGTTGAGCACTAAGTGAGGTATACATATAAACGTTCCTACAAAGTCGTGTATGGAGTCACAGAGTAGGGAGTAAAGTGGCCTATAGACATTATCCATTAAGCAATGTGGAAAGAAGCATAAAGAGTAAAAGTAATGAATGGATTCACGAAATAGCTTGTATAGTTACACAGAAAAACACAGAGTAGTCTAGTATAGGAATACACAGGAACTACCAGAGGTGTGCACTCAAGTCACATGACTTGGACTCGGGTCAGACTCGAGTCACCAATTTGATGACTTTGGACTCGACTTGATAAAATCTGGCTGCATTTCAATGATATTGGAGAAAGCAGAGCTGAGTGCAGGATTTGTAAAATGAAAATAACCTTCAGAGCAGGGTTTTGTTTTGGTAACCACTCAGGAGTTATTGTCAGAGGTGGGAGAAGTTCAGATCTTGTACTTGAGTAAAAGTACCAGAGTGTAGGAATACTCGGTTACAATAAAAAGTCCTGCATTCAAAATGTTACTCAAGTAAAAGTACAAAAGTATTATCATCAAAATATAGTGAAAGTACCACCTGCAGAGGGATCTAGATTCAGGTGTTCTCTTCCCCCATAGAGACGCCTCGCTGCACATTATCCCTTGCATAAAGATAGGTTGTGGGTCCCTTATAACATGTTGTACACAGTGGAAATAAACATTCTGGTCACCTCAACATCAGGGATCTAATACATTAAACTCCTTCTGAATCAAACCGTCACGGTAGCCTTACCTTACTGATCCCTCTTACAATAGAAGAAAACACGTGACTTTACCAGCAGAGAGAAAATAGATTATTAAATTATTAATGTGACTAATAAAGAGCAGTTTAATTATTAAGTATGATTCTGTTGATCGATGTCATTACATTTGGTGAAAAGCACATAATGACTTGTTTAAGACTCGGTTTTTCAAAGTTTAGGACTTGGACTTGACTTGAACTTGCCCATCCTGACTTGAGACTCGACTTGAGCGCAAAGACTTGAGACTTACTTGTGACTTGCAGAACAATGACTGGTCCCACCTCTGGTAACTACAGTATGGACTGCTGAGTTATACACTGAATAACACAGAGATTCATGAAGCAACGTACGGATTAATATGTGTTTTATGTTGCTATAAATGGTTAAAATGTTGTGTTTGAGGGTCATGATATATTGAGGACGTTGTAAAGCAGCAACAAGAAGCTCAACTCTTATTAGAAACCGTGAAGCCCAGGTACTCCAGTCAGAATGCTGTGAAAGCTGAGCGAGGCGAAAGACGGGTTTCATCTTTGTCTCCTGACTGCGGTTTAGTTTTTATCTGGAATTCCCCTTTAAGGCCCTCTGTGTGTTTAGTTGCTGCAGCCGGATCAATGGAGGATGAATGGAGGATGAATGGAGGATGAATGGAGGGAGGAGACGACACAGAAACAGAGCTCATATTTCAAAGACTAAAAAAAGAACACACAAAGCTGCAGAAAAACTTCTGAAACACCGGCCTTTCAGAGAGACTTCATTCAACTCTGAGGAGCCTCAGCTCTTACATGTGAACCAGAATCTACCACCAAGCTAGGCTAGGCTAGCAGTTTCTCCCTGCTTCAAGTCTTTGTGCTAAGTTAGGCTAAGAGTTCCCTACTGCTTCAACTCTTTGTGCTAAGCTAGGCTAGCAATTCTCCCTAATTCAAGTATTTGTGCGAAGAAGCTAGTTTTACTCTGCCTCTATCTTTGAGCTAAGCTAGGCTAGCAGTTTCCCCCTGCATCCAGTCTTTGCGCTAAGAAGCTAATTGTCTCTGCCTCTATCTTTGAGCTAAGCGAAGCTAGCTAGCAGTTACCCCTGGCCTGTAGTGTTATTCTAAGCTAGGCTTGCAGGTTTCCCCTGCTTCAAGTCTTTGAGCTAATAAATTAGTTGTCCTCTGCATGTAGTGTTATGCTAAGCTAGGCTAGCAGTTTCCCAGTGCTTCCTGTCTTCGTGCTAAGCTATGCTAAACACCTCCATCTGACTGACTAGGGGGAACTGACGTATTGGTGTTTTAATGATATTTGTTTTTTCTACTCTGTAACCTCTCTTTATAGCCAATAATAACACCTGTAGATATGTAAGGTGTTTCTCTGTGTCTCTGTGTGTCTCTCTGTGTCTCTCTGTCTCTCTGTCTCTCTGTCTCTCTGTGTTTCTGTGTCTCTGTGTTTCTCTGTGTCTCTGTGTGTCTCTCTGTGTCTCTCTGTCTCTCTGTCTCTCTGTGTCTCTGTGTCTCTGTGTTTCTCTCTGTGTCTCTGTGTTTCTCTCTGTGTCTGTGTGTCTGTGTGTTTCTCAATGTTTCTCTCTGTGTCTCTGTGTCTGTGTCTCTGTGTGTCTCTCTGTGTCTCTGTGTCTGTGTCTCTCTGTCTCTCTGTGTCTCTGTGTCTGTGTCTCTCTGTCTCTGTGTGTCTCTGTGTCTCTGTGTCTGTGTCTCTCTGTGTCTCTGTGTGTCTCTCTGTCTCTCTGTGTGTCTCTCTGTCTCTCTGTGTCTGTGTCTCTGTGTTTCTCTGTGTCTGTGTCTCTCTGTCTCTCTGTGTCTCTGTGTCTCTGTGTGTCTCTCTGTGTTTCTCTGTGTTTCTCTGTGTTTCTCCGTGTTTCTCTCCGTGTTTCTCTCCGTGTTTCTCTCCGTGTTTCTCTCTGTGTTTCTCCGTGTTTCTCTCCGTGTTTCTCTCCGTGTTTCTCTCTGTGTTTCTCTCTGTGTTTCTCCGTGTTTCTCCGTGTTTCTCTCTGTGTTTCTCTGTGTTTCTCCGTGTTTCTCTCCGTGTTTCTCTCTGTGTTTCTCTCTGTCTCTCTGTGTCTCTGTGTCTCTGTGTGTCTCTCTGTCTCTCTGTGTCTGTGTCTCTGTGTTTCTCTGTGTCTGTGTCTCTCTGTCTCTCTGTGTCTCTGTGTCTCTGTGTGTCTCTCTGTCTCTCTGTGTCTGTGTCTCTGTGTTTCTCTGTGTCTGTGTCTCTCTGTCTCTCTGTGTCTCTGTGTCTCTCTGTGTTTCTCTCTGTGTTTCTCCGTGTTTCTCCGTGTTTCTCTCCGTGTTTCTCTCTGTGTTTCTCTCTGTGTTTCTCTGTGTTTCTCCGTGTTTCTCCGTGTTTCTCTGGTACCTGTGCAGGCTCTCCAGCTCTGAACCGAGTTGATGAGCAACATCAGGCTGAGCAACAGGCAGCGGAGCGCCAACATCCCGCCAAGAGACGTCGGTTCAATTCCCCTCAGTCGCTCCCCGCCATCATCTTCAACCGGCCAATCAGAGCCTCCGATCTTCCTCTTCTTCTTTGGTGTTCAAACGTCTGTGTTGAAAACAGAACATCAATGAAAAACCATCCTCTGGGTTTGTGTCAGCAGCTCTAAAATGACATGAGTTATTCTAATCGTAAAACTGAGATATTTATTGATCCCAATTTGGGAAATGTTTGCATTGCAGCAGCATAAAAAGATATTTGTGGCATTTGTAGAATACAAATTAAAAGACTACAAATAAACATTCCAAAATGTAAACATCTCAATAGAAATAAAATAGCATAAAAAAGTAGCTCACTGATATTATGGCGTGCAAAATAATATGTTATCAGGGGTGTTTCTATAAAGTCATAGTATGAGTACTGTGTTTCTGATCTTGTTTATAAGATATATCAACAACAACATGACGTAAACAAGATGTCTCAGCGGACGTAAACAACAACGTGACTTCGGAGCTCCGTAAAAACAAAGCTGTCTCTGCTGTCTGACGCTCGGTTTGATTCTCATATTTCTGGAGTAATTATACCGTTTTTGACGAACAGAAATATTGTTTTCTGGCATCACTTTAACATTTTAAGGGGAAAATCTGCATTTTGGTTTGCGGGCGCACGGACGCTCGGGTAACAGGAGCAGCGGCTTCATCACCTTACACATGTCAAAGTTGACAAAAAGAAAGTTGACTAAAAAATTGTTGACTAAAAATAAAATGTTTACCAAAAAATGATTGACTAAAATAAATTGACCAAAAAAAGAAAGTGTGATCACATTGTTAAAATAAGACCATAAAACCTTTAAGTTTCCAACAACAGAGACAG